AGACATACATAGATATATACCTACATACATACATTCATACATTCATACATTCATACATTCATACATTCATACATTCATACATTCATACATTCATACATTCATTCATTCATACATACATACATACATACATACATACATATACATGTACATATACATACATCATGTACATATACATACATCATGCATGCATGCATGCATGCATGCATGCATACATACATACATACATATACGTACATACATACATACATACATGCATGCATGCATGCATGCATGCATACAGACAGACAGACAGACAGACATGCATACATACATGCATCTATGCATCACACTGACAGACAGACAGGCAGACAGGCAGGCAGGCAGACGGACGGACAGACAGACAGACAGGCATACATGCATACATACATGTACAAACATACATACATGCATACATGCAAATGCATGCATGCATATGTGTATATATGAATATGTATTGTATGTGCAATTATGCGTACATACATATGTCCATACATCCATGTATGCATACATGTATTACGTTTGTATATACAGACATACACACATGTCTACATACATACATACATACATACATACATACATACATACATACATACATACATACGGACATAGCTATGCATGCATATAGACATACATGCATACATGCATACGTGCATACATACATTCATGTATACATACACACATACATACAAACGTGCATAGCTATATGCGTGCATATATACGTGCATACATACATACATGTATGCCTGCATAAGTACATGCATGATTACATACATGCATGCGTGCTTACAGACATGCATGCATACATATACATGTATCCATACATAGATCCATATGTGTTGGTCCTCCCCCCACGCATGATCATACATATCCTTTGGAAAGCACCACAAAAGGATTGCCGTTGGATTGGAAAGCACCACTGAGGGTTCTTGTTGGACAGCCGCACAAAAAGAATCCATCGGAAAGCACCTGATAGGGATTCTGTTGTACAGCGTCACAACAGGAATAATTTGGAAAGCAGCACAAAGGGACTCGATTGGAAAGTCTCACAGCAGGAATCCTTAGGGAAGCGCCACAAAAGTATTCGATTGGAAAGCTTCACACTCGGAACCCTCCGGAAAAACGCCACAAAAAGGATTCGATTGGAAAGCCTCACAATTCAAATCCTTTGGAAAGCACAACGGTAAGATTCGATTGGAAAACCTCACAACAAAAATCCTGTGGAAAGCGTCCCAAGGGGACTCGATTGGAAAGCCTCACAGCAGGAATCCTTTGGAAAACGCCACGAACGGATTCTATTGGAAAACCTCACAACAGGAACCCTGCAGAAAACGCCACAAAGGGACTCGATTGGAAAGCCTCACAATCGGAATGCTTCGGGAAAGCGCCACACATGGAATCCATTGGAAACTCTCACAATCGGAATCCTTTGGGAAGCACAACGCAGGCAGTCGATTGGAAAACCTCACAAAAGGAATCTTGTGGAAACCGCCACAAAAAAGATTCGATCGGAAAGCCTTCCAATCGGACTCCTCTGGAAAGCACAACGACGAGATCCGATTGGAAAGCCTCACAACAGGAATCATATGGAAAGTGTCACAAAGGGATTCGATTGGAAAGCCTCACAGCAGGAATCCTGTGGAAAGCAGCACAAAGTGGTTATATTGGAAAGCCTCACAACAGGAACCCCTTGGACAGCGCCACAAAGGCGTTTTGCTGGAAAACCTCACATCAGGAGTCCTGTTGAAAGCGCCACAAAGGGATCTTATTGGAACGCCTCAAACCCGGAATCCTGTGGAAAGCACCAGATAAGGATTCGATTGGAAAAGGGATTTGGATTTGAAAGCCTCACGGCAGGAATCCTTTGGAAAGCACCACAGAGGGATTTGATTGGAAAGCCTCACAACCGGAAACCTTGGAAAGCACAACGAAGGGAGTTCATTGGAAAGCCTCACAGCAGGAAACCTTTGGAAAGCGCCACAAAGGTAATATATTGGAAAGCCTCACAACAAGAATCCTGCGGAAAGCACCACTAAGGGATTCGACTGGAAAACCTGACAACAAGAATCCTTTGGAAACACCACAACTGGATTCAATTGGACAAACCTCACAATCGGAATCCTTTGAAAAACGCAACGAAGGGATTCCATTGGAAAGTCTCACAATCGGAATCGTTTAGAAAGCACAACGAAGGGAGTCCATTGGAAAGCCTCACAACAAAAATCCTTTGGAAACCGCAACACAGGGATTCGATTGGAAAAGCCTCACAGCAGAAATCCTTTGGAAAGAGCCACCAAGGGATTCTATTGGAAGGCCTCACAGCAGGAATCCTTTGGAAAGCACCACAAAGGGATGCTATTGGAAAGCCTCACAACAAGACTTTTTGGGAAAGCGCCACAAAAGGATTATATTGGAAAGCCTCACAGCAGAAATCCTGTTGAAAGCGCCAGAAAGGGATCCGATCGGGAAGCCTCGCAGCCGGAATCATTTAGAAAGCATAACGAAGGGATTATGTTGGAAAGCCTGACAACTGGAATCCTTTGAAAACCGCCATGAATGGATTCGATTGGAAAACCTCGCAGTTGGAATCCTTCAGAAAGCGCTACAACGGGAATAGATTGGAAAGCCTCACAGCAGGAATCCTGTGGAAAGCACCACAAAAGGATTCAATTAGACAAACCTCACAATCGGAATCCTTTGAAAAAACGCTTCAAAAAGGGATTCCATTGGAAAGTCTCACAGTCGGAATGATTTGGAAAGCATAACGAAGGGAGTCAGTTGGAAAACCTCACAACAGAAATCCTACGGAAACCGCAACAAAGGGATGCTAGCGGAAAGCCTCACAATCTGAATCCTCTGGAAAGCACAACGACGAGATCCGATTGGAAAGCCTCACAACAGAAATCATCTGGAAAGTGCCACAAAGGGATTCGACTGGAAAGCCTCACAGCAGGAATCCTGTGGAAAGCAGCACAAAGTGATGCTAGTGGAAAGCCTCACAACAGGACTCCATTGGAAAGCGCCACGATAGGATTATCGGAAAGCCGGACAGCAGGAATCGTGTTGAAAGCGCCACAAAGGGATCCCATTGGAAAGCCTCGCAGCCGGAATCATTTGGAAGGCATAACGAAGGGATTCTGCTGGAAAGTCTCACAACAGGAATCCTTTGGAAAGCGCTACAAAGGGATTCGATTGGAAAGCCTCGCAGTTGGAATCCTTCAGACAGCGCTACAAAGGGATTCGACTGGAAAGCCTCACAGCAGGAATCCTGTGGAAAGCACCACAAAGGGATTCTATTGGAAAGCCTCACAACAGGAATCCTTTGGAAAGCGCCACAAATGGATTCTTTTGGAACGCCTCACAGCAGGAATCCTCCGGAAAGCACCACAAAGGAATTCTATCGGAAAGCCTCCCAACAGGAATCTTTTGGAAAGCGCCACAAAAGGATTCGATTGGAAGGCCTCACATTCCAATTCCTTTGGAAAGCACCGCGAAGGGAATATATTGGAAAGTCGATTGGGCATTAAACAACAAAAAAAACACAAGGAAAAACCTAAAACAACAAAGAAACCGAAGACCCAGGGCTGAAAAAAACATCTATATATATATATATATATCAACAACCTTGTACATATATATATATAGCACTAACCAAAAAACTTTCTCTGTGAGGGCGGCGGGGATGGGGTAAGTATTGAAAACTGTGTTGTGTTGTTTTCTTTGTTGTTTCATTGTGTTTGTTTGGTTTTTCAGCCCTGGGACTTTGGTTTCTTTGGTTGGTTTGGTTGTTCCTTGTGTTTGCTTGGTGGTTCAGTACCCAACCTCCTCTTCTTCCAACCCTCCTCCTTCTCCTCCTGTCTACTCCTCGTGGAGGGACGTCCTTTTGTGCTGGAGGAATAGCTTTGTTTTCATATGGTTCCCTTCAGAAAGCAGCCTCTGTGTAAGGCTTTTCGAAACGCAATCCTGCAGACGGAGGAAGGGCAGGAGGAGAAGGGGATGAGAGAGAGAACGAAGAAGAGTGGAGGATGATGAGGAGGAGGAGGTATGTATGATCATGTGGGGGCTACCATATATATAGTATCTACGTGTGTACATACATGCATACATACATACGTACATACATACATACACACATACATGCATGCATGCATGCAGATAGAGATGTACTTAAATATACACAACTATACATACATATGTACATACATGCATACATACATTCGTGCACACGTCCATACGTACATACACACATACAAGCATGCATGCATGCATACATGCATGAATATATACATGTATGCATAAATATATACATGTACAAACAGGCATACAAACAGAAATGCAAACATTCATACATGCACACACTATATTACATTACATTGCAACACATTACACTACACTACATTACATTACATGCTATACACTACATTACATTACATACATAAATGCGTCCACACATACAAACATACATACATACATGCATGCATGCATACATACATACAGACAGACAGACAGACAGACAGGCAGGCAGACAGACAGACATGCATACATACATACATACATACATACATACACACACATACATACACACATACATACACACATACATACAGACAGACAGGCAGGCAGACAGACAGACAGACAGACAGACAGACAGACAGACAGAGACAGACAGACAGACAGGCAGGCAGACAGACAGACAGACATACATACATACACACGTGCGACGCCATGAGTTGTTCAATTTGCGGGGTTCCTAGAGGTCCAGACCGCTTTCCCAGGTCCAGTGTCTCATCCCGAGTCGTTTTGTAACAGCCCCAAGCCCTGGCGAGGGCACCCTGAGGCCAGACACGGGCCCCCCAAAAAAACACCCGTCATGATGTTTGCCCGAAGCGAGCATGTCTGGGCACACACTTCTGGTCACCACCCTCTCTTGGACGCCCCCGAGGGCTGGTCGCGGCCCGCTGGACGTTCTGGCGGCCCCTGCGCGCCTCGGGCGGCAGCTCGGCAGCCTTCTTGGCGGCACCCTTCTTGCCCGCCTTGGTCTCCACGGGCTCCTCCGCGGCCTCGGGTTGAGCTGCCCGCAGGCTCCGAGATTCTCCGGGGCGGTCGGCGGCTCATCCGCGCGCCCGCTCACGCCAGAGCTCAGCGAGGGGGCGGAGCGGGCACACGGGGTAAGATGACTGCCTCTGGGGACCGATTTCTTATCCATACCCTGCAGCCCCCCCTTGGCGCCCACAGTGGGCGGCAGCAGCAGGGATATGGATAGAACGTCGATCGCCGATTACCAGCAGGGACAAGAACGGTGCTGCAGGAGGAGGGTCCTGGAATTTCTGTGGCAGCTTCCTGGCTTCCCGGGACCCTTCCCAAAACGTAAGGCCGTCCAAAAACGACCGAGGACGGAGAACTGGTCTTTGGGGGCCTTGCGGAGGCCCTGAGGCACACTCCCTCGTGCCACCAGGAGGGTCCCACCCGAGGGTACCGCGCTCAATCGTGCTGTCGCATCTCTCAACGGTCAGGACATTGTCCGTGATGCCCCGCCCTTGCAGGGGCCCGCCCATGAAGTTCCGCACACGAGGTCCAAGGCTTGACTGCCTTGAGTGCGGCAACCTGGGCGGTCGCCGTCGTCGTCGCCCACAGAGTCCAGAGCCCGCGATGCGCACTCGCTCCTGCCGAGAGAGCCCAGGGCGCAGCTGCCCGGTGCGAAAGGACGCCCGCATTGAGCAGGGACCCGAGAAGTCGCCGCAGTCGTCGTCCGTCAGGTTCTGCTCCCGGGGTCTCGCCGTCGGGTCACAGGCGTCAGGTCAATGTCTGGGCCCGTGGGCCCGTCCCAGGTGTACAACAGCCCAAGGGGAGGCGCGGCGCCCGGAAAAAAACATGTGGGGGGGCATGTCCCTAACAGCGAACCGCTTCTGAGCTCGCGGCCCCGATGCCCTCGGGACCGAGTGACTGTGAAAAGGTATGACCAAGGATGGTAGTAGTAGCGCAAACCAGAACATCGATGGTCCTCCCTACTCCTCTTCCTCCCTCCTCCATCCTCTCTCCTCGTCCTCCGCCTCCATCCTACTTTTCTGCCGCTTCCTCCTCCTCCTCCTCCTCCTCCTCCTCCTCCTCCTCCTCCTCCTCCTCCTCCTCTAAATCACAAACGAAACGGGAGACGGGAAACGAAACGAACCGGGGCGCCGCCGAAACAGCAACGCCACCAAAACGGCGGAAACGGAAACGCCCGAAGCGGAACGCCGCCAAAACGGCAGAAGCGCTGGCTGCAAAAAGCGCATCGCGCGCCCGCGGGCGGCGCCGAGGCGCCCGCGCGCGGGCGCGCGATGCGTTTGTGCACCACAATGCCTGCGCACACCACTGCACCTGTAAACCACAATGCCTGTGTACTCCACCGCGCCCGTGCACACCACAGTGCCTGTGTACCCCCCCTTCGTCCTCCAATCCCGTCTCGATCAAATTGCATATCGCGACCTGTGGGCACCGCGCTACGCCTGTGAGCGACATAGCATGTTTGCGAGCACCGGCGGTCGCCGCGGCACACATGCAAGCGCCACATAATGTCAGCCTGCTTCCGCGTCCTCCTCCTCCTCCTCATCCTCCTCCTCTTCCTCCTCCACCTCCTCGTTCTCCTCCACCTCCCGCTGCTGCTGCTGCTGCTGCTGCTGCTGCTGCTGCTGCTGCTGCTGCTGCTGCGCTGGTGTGTTGCTGCTGCTGCTGCTCCTCGTATTCCTCCTCCACCACCTACTCTATGGAAAAGTGCACGCACGCCTGTGGCCAGCTTCCTGCCGTTACTGTTGCGTGGGGGGGCGGGGGGAGGTAACATGCGGAAGTGATAAAAGAACAATCTCTGTTAGAGGCTGGAAAGATTGTTGTGCTGCTTACCGAGCCTTCCTCTATCCCGTGGGTCATAATTCGAGCCTCCAGCGGCCGTTCGGGACGATCCGGGCACCTCCAGAACGCTCTCGGCGAGGCGCGGCTGCCGGAAGGCACCCCGAGGCTGGAAGACCGCCGGGAGCCGATGCTGACGTCAGAACCTCGAAACTGGTCTCCCTCCTCCCCCCACCTTTCGTCCGACCCGAACCTCCCGCCGGCGGGAAGGAGGGAGGAGGGAGGGGAGGGAGGGGAGGGGAGGGAGGAAGGCTCTTGCACTTTGGTTTGGGATTCCGCCGAAGATCCTCCGAGGGCGCCCTGGGACGCAGGAGGAAGGGAGGGAGGGAAGGAGGAGAAAGAGGAGGGAAGAAAAAAGGGGGAGGACAGAGGGAGGACGGAGGTGCACGGTATCCCCAGGGGCCGTAATCGACCTGAGGAGGAGGAGGAGGAGGAGGAGGAGGAGGAGGAGGAGGAGTAGAGGAGAAGGAGGAGAGGAGGAGGATCAGCTGGAGGAAGAGTGCAGAGGAGCAGGAGGAGGAGAGTGCAGGGAGGAGGAGGAGAGTGATGAAGAGGAGGAGGAGGAGAGGAGGAGGAGGAGGAGGAGGCAGTATAGAGGAGGAGGCGGAGGAGGAGGAGGCAGGAGGGAGGAGAGGAGGAGGAAGGAGGAGGAGAAGGGGAGGAGGAGGAGGGAGAGGGGAGGAGGAGGCCAGGAGGAGGAGGAGGGAGAAAGGGAGGCAGGAGAGAAAAAGAGGACGAGGAGGAGGATGAAGGAGGGAGGAGGAGGAGGAGAGTGCAGGAAGGCTGCGGAGGAGAAGAGGCGGCGTAGGAGTGAGGACAGGCGGCGGAGGCGGAGGCGGAGGCGCGGCGGCGGCAGCGGCGATGAGGCTGAGGGCGTAGGGGACAGAGCGGCGGGTGCCGCCGGTGCGGGAGGACTCCAGCTGTCCGTCGGCTTAGACGGCGCGGCGCGTGCGGAGCGGCGGCGGCGGCCCGGCGGGGCGGCGGGGGAGGACGAGGACCAGCAAGACGGGTCGCCTGAGCCCTTCGGAGAAACCCTCCAGACGGAGGAGCCACGATGGCGGGGAGACGGTGCAGCGGGATCCCCTGGCGGGGGCGGACGGCCGAGAGAGCACGTGGAGCCTCCGGCGCCGCGCCTTCCGGCGGGAGCTCCGGGAAGACCCTCGCGGGCGCGGGTGGCATGAGCGACGGGGGCAGGGAGGAGGTGGGCCAGGGAGGAGGAGGAGGAGGAGGAGGAGGAGGAGGAAGAGGAGGAGGAGGAGGCAGGAGGAGGAGGAGGAGGCAGGAGGAAGAGGAGGAGGACGAGGAGGAGGAGGAGGAGGAGGAGGAGGAGGAGGAGGAGGAGGAGGGCCCGCGGCCTTTGGCTCGAGGCCGTCTGGGCTCAAGGCCCCAACCAGCTCCGCATGGCCCCCCGGGCCTCTGCCTTCCCCTGCCCGGCCTTAGCTGTCGGAAGCCCTCCATTCACCCTCTGAGGAGGGTGAATGGAGGAGACGTTACTCTCTCCTGGGAACGAGGGTTGATTTGACCCTGGGAACCCTCACGTCCCCCCTGGCGCGAGGCCGAAGTGTGCCATCCCCAGGAGCGGCTTTCACGCCCCCCCCCGGCCCATGGGACCAACGAGGGTCCAGGACCCTCGTACCTTTCGGCCGGCGACGGCGACGGGCGCGACGATCGTGGGCGCAGATCTGATCTCCCGACATGGAACCGCACTGCCCCCCACATCGGCCCAATTGCTTACCCCCACGGCTGCCTATCGGGAGGGGGCGTTCCTGGGTCCTTGCGGCCTCCCCCGCCCCCGATCCCTGGCTACGCCGTCCCCAATACAGCAGGTCGCGCCGTGCGTGCCCAGACCATAGCTGGAAAGGATGTTCTGGGACGGTCGGATGTCCGACAGCCGTTGAGCTCGCCCCGAGCGAGGTTTACAGGCAACGCTTCAGACGCGCACCCCCCTCAACGCCCCCAGCGCGGCAGCCTGGAACCCCCTGGACCTCCTCTCTCTAACATGACCTTGCCCGCTGGGATCGATCTGGCACCCAACCCAAGTGCCCTGAGGCCGCATCTTCTGCGGTCCAACGACCTGGGATCGACCCAGAACCCTCCCGCTGTGCGGACGCCCCCTTGCCCCCCACCAGCGATCCCCTGCACTCGGTCGGTCAGCCTCTGCATACGGCGTGGCAGGCCTCCATGATCCGCCATCCGGGCAGTGGAGACCCCAGCCCCATAGGAGACATCTCGCGGGAAGTTCGCCGCGGCCTCGCCCCAAGAGTGCACGCGCGGGGACGCGCCAGGCGGATTGACGTGCCACGTTCCATGCCTCCGCGCGCGACCTCCTGCTAAGGCGGATCCGCACGGCAGCCCTCCTGCCGCCATCAACTCTCCAGACCGCTCGGCAAAGCACTGAGCGGGGACTGGAGACCTACGGCGTAGCGGGCGATCCCGAAGACCTGGCGGCCCTCGACGCGACGTCGCTGGCCGACGCTGCACGGCGTGGTGATTCGCCCACGCCCCTGCCCACCACGGCCTGGGCGTGCGGCCGCTGCTCTCTCCACAACCCCGCGGCCGCCCCTGCCTGCCTCAACCGCAGCTGTCGAGCGCCCTGCTCTGAAGCGCGTCACCTCGGCGCTCTCGATCCCCGCTGGGAAGTGGGCGTCGCATGGGGGGCCCTCCCCCCAGACGTCTACTCCTCCCTTCGCCCAGCCCCTCGGGACACGGCTGCACCGCAGGATCCACTCGGCCCCCTCCGGACCCCTCTGCGGCAGCGAGCGAAACCCTGGAGCGCGCGGCTCAACTTCTACCGGACAGCGACCGGCACGATGACGCGTTCAGACCCTCGCCCTCGTCGACCACCCCTGCAAAACTCAGGTGACGCAGAGTGGCTTCACGCCGTTCGGATGGCCCGCTCGCGGCCCCTCTCCCCTCTTGGCCCCCCCGCTGGCGACTCTCCCCCGCTGGAGGGTCCTCGCGGGGACGGTTCTGCCGATCCGCCCTCTCCAGCTCATTACGCGCGCGCGGACCCCCCACCTGCCTCGGGGCTCATAGCTCAACTCCTCCCCCCACTTGGACATCCTCCTCGACATGCTGCGTTGTGGTGCACAGCCGAGCCTCGCTTCCTCGGCCCCCTCCATCAACGCATGGCTGCCCTCGAGATGGAGACGAGGCGTTGCGACCTAGTGAGCTGGTGGCTACAGCAAAGGGCCAACGGCCTACGCTCCAAAACCCCCAGGGCGGCCATTCACCACGACTGGCCGGCCGACAGGCAGCCTTTAGCTCCCCCCGCAGGGTTTCTCGCTCATCTCGAGCGCCCCCTCCAGGAACACGACATGGCCATGGCCGACCCTCTCGGCCAGGTCCATGCGCCGCCCTCGTGGGCAGCGAGCTCTCGCTCTCCGAGGTCAGACCCGGTGGTCTTGACCCCCTGCCCCAGATCGACGGCCCAGACGCCCCTGGCAACCCCAGGGGAAGGGACGCCCCGAGGCCTCGCGCACATCCCGCGGCTTGGCTGCGTGCCATTGCGCAGGTGCCCCTGCCATCTCATGCCCCCCTCGCGCTCCCGGCGCTCCACAGCTGCGGCATGGATGCCCGACCCTTCCGCAACGCCGCGACCGCTCTCTGCGACCTTGGCCTCAACGCCCCCCATCCGTTGAAGCGCTGACTGGCCGTAGAAGGGGAGGCGCCCCCCCTCCCCCGCGCCCACGCGTCGGGCCTGGGCACGCAGCTACCCTCTTCACCTTTCTCCCCCGCGGGCGGTGACACGCAGCCAACGCCCTCCGCCACGCGACCCGAGCGGGACGGAGAGCCCACCACACCGCCCCACAGGAGCTCCACGAGCTCCCAGCTCGCGCGGTGCGCCACGAAGAAGTGCCGTACGGAGCTCCAGCTCTCCCCGCGCGGGCACCTCCTTCACGCGCATTGCCTCGCGGCCCACCTGGAGGCCGGCGCGGCGGGCGGCCGCGCCCCCGCCTGCCACCTCTGCCGCGAGCACACTCCCGAGCTGCCGCGACCAGCGGCAACTGCCTCTCTGGCAGGTGCCCCAGCGACACACAGCGAACCCCCGTCGCTGCGCGGGAGGTGCGCACCCCGAGGCCCACGGGACCCATCCGCCTCGGTTCGGACACGTTAGTCTCCATTGCTCGCACGGGCGCCCCCCGACCGACCCGCGGCCCCCCCCCCGACGCCAAGGTCCTTCGAGGCAGACCGCCAGTTGGCCCGCCGCGGGCCGCTGGGGGCTCTGCCTCATCCCCGACCGCGCCCCCCCCCCCACGCTCACGGACCCCGCGTACTCCCACCTCACACGCCAAACCCCCCGTGGAGGCCCCCCCCCCCTTTCAGAGTCCACAGACGATCCCATGACCATCTGTCCCACTGCTCCCCCACCCTCCCAAGCGCAACCAGGCCCGTGGGACCGGTGCCGCAGAAGCACACCACTCAGCCCCCCTAGTGCCGCTCAGGAGCAGGGCAGCACCCAAACCGCACCTCCATGGGCCTTGGTCAACCGCCTCCTGGTACGGCAGCCCCCCCCCCGCCACAAGATCCCACGGTGCCGCTTTCTTCTCCCCCACACGCTGCACCCTAGGGCCGCGGCGACCCGCCACTCCCAGCGGGGCCAGTGTTGGAGAGCCCGCACGCGGACCCAATCGCCTGCCCTCAGCTCTTCCCCAACGATGGCAACACACGGTAGGACAGGCCAACCGCACTCACATTCCCGACGACGCCCCCTTCTCCGTTCCCGGGACGATCGACGTCGTCACTGCAGCTAAGCTCGGCACTTCCATTGTCCTCTCCCCCCAAGTTCTCCTGGGCGATCAAGTCGCTGGTGCGCAAGCGGCGACTTTCACTCTCCCTGTCAGCTACACCTGGCGGTAGCTGACCCCCTGGGAACTCCCGCACCCCTAGCCCACATTGTACTCGAGGAACAGAAAGGGGCACGCGCGCGGAACGCCGACAGCACCCAGCAGAGCTTCGCGGACCAAGACGCGGCGCTGGGCAGCAAGGCCACCACCGTGCACGCGCAGAAGAGCTTCGACGACCAGGAGCAGCAGAGCTCCGCGAGCCAGGACGACGCGCCGGACACCGAGGACACCGCGGCGGCGCGAGGAGCAGCAGAGCTTCACAGACCAAGGGATGACGCTGGGTAAGAGGGGCTGCGCGCCCCTGAGGGCGCGATGCTGCGCAGCACGGACACCGCGACGTACGAGCAGAAACAGACGCTCACCGACCAGGGCGCGACACCGGGCACACCGAGGATACCACAGGGCCTGCGCAGCGCAGCAGGCCTCCGCGGACTGGGACTGGTAGGGAGCACCTGGGCACGCAGGACGCCGCGGCGCACGAGAAGCCGCAGGGGCGCGAAGATGACATGGACGCCGCGGTGCGAGAGATGACGTGCGGATTCCTCGGTCTCGTCTGCGGCTGCGCGGAGAGACGAGTCCAGGAGGGCCACGCAGTCACGGACGCGCGGGCGTACGCCGGGCTCGACGAGTGGCTCGGGGAGGCCACCGCCGCTCGGACTGCCCTGCGCGCACTCGAGCAAGACGGCACGGCACACACCGTTCGGGCAGTCACTACACAAGGAGACGTGCGGGCACACATCGTCAGCGCAGAGGAGG